CTGGGGCGGCATCACGTACCGAGACGGCTGGCGTCCAATGGCCTCATGTCGAAGATATCGATACCCTGCATCTTTCCGAGAATTTCGAGACGCTCAAGACCGGTCGCCTGCTCGGCATCGGTGGGAACGGTACCGGGCTGCGCACCAGGGGGCAGAAGATCCTCCTCGGTCTTGATTTCTACAGAAGTGACCTCGTCAGCAATTGATGGTTTTGGCCTATCGTAGCCGCGGCAATGCGGATGACGAAGTGCGGGCGCAACATACGGTCGAGCTTCTTGAAGCCTGCGAGGACGCTGGGGGCGTTGGCCGAGTGGCCAGTCTCCTTCTGCGCAATGTTGCTCTCCTTGGCCTCCTTGCTCTCGGTGGACTCCCCTGCTATGGTGTCAATGGCACATCGTACGATAGCTCCTCGCGAAACATACAGCGGGCAAAGGTGGTGGTGAAGGTGCGGCGGGTCGCAATGGCGCGGGGGGCCACACGCCTTGCTGCGGCGATAGCAGAGCGCTGGACGAACATGGCGGGACGATTGGGGTGGAGTGGAGAGGGTGGGCGTGGTTATCGAGCTGGTGATGTTCGTCAGTCGTGAATTGACGAGCCGACGGCAGACGTCTTGGCGCTGTGATTAGGTAAGGCAAGCCACAGAACGCTGGTGACGCTGCCGACAAGCTTCTGCCTCGTGGCCTGCGATCGTTGATTCATCAACGGCTCGTTTCTACGACTTGCGCCATGCACCTGCAGCATCATGACCTACGCTGCCTTGATCTTAGACATTGGTGATTATTTATAAGACGGTCCTGCGCACGACCGCTCTACCTTACAGCCTTCGATACTCTGCTCTCAACCTTGGGACTACTCTAGACATCTTCACCCACTAACGCACTAATTTGATAATTTTGGTTACTTACCCAGCATGTCTTTCAAACCAGCGCTCGTCATCGTCGACGTACAGGAAGACTTTTGCCCGCCGGTAAGCACCCACGACTCGCATGGCTGCCTCCAAATTAACAAGCTTAGAACGGAGCGCTCGCAGTAACAGGTGGACGCGACATCGTCCCGACCATCAACGAGTTCCTCACATATCCCTTTGCTCTCAAAGTCGCGACGAAAGACTTTCATCCCCAAGACCACGTCTCTTTCGCCTCGAACCACTCTCCACCGAACAACAAGCCTTTCGAATCCACATTCACCATCAAGAACCCGAACAATCCAGAGGAGACGCAGGAAACGCGGCTATGGCCAGACCACTGTGTGCAGGGCACAAAAGGCTCTGAGCTGCTGCCAGAGCTGGACGTCAGCAAGGTCGACCACATAGTCGAGAAGGGTCAGGACAAGCGCGTTGAGATGTATTCTGCGTTTGCGGATCCGTTCAAGCGCCCATCTGTGGCCAAGAGCGATCTGGCAGAGACTCTGCGCAAGGCTGAAATCACCGACGTCTTTGTCGTCGGTCTCGCAGGCGATTACTGCGTCAAGTACACTGCGATTGATGCACAGAAGGAGGGCTTCAAAACATGGGTTGTTGGCGATGCGACAAGGGCAGTCGATCCGTCAGCAATGGAAGAGGTTCACAAGGAGTATGAGAAGGTCGGAGTGACGGTCATAGCCAAGGACGATGCGCAGGTCCAGAGGGTCAAGGAGCAAGGCCAGCGGACTCAGGACCAGGGCGCGAAGGATGCAAGCAAGGCCGGTGAGAGTGTACTGGACTAGACGACAGTCATGAATGTTTGATATCAATCGAATCTAAGGTGTCTCGTCGGATCTTTGGCGATGTGCAGCCCCCTGATAGCGACGTCATTGCCATGAATGCTCCACGCGCCCGGTTCCCTCGGAATGCGACGCGTAGCACTGAAGATAATCATCAAGCGACATCCGGGCCGGCCCCCACTGTATCTGGTGGCACTGTTCCTGGAATCGCAGGTCCTGGGTATTCGGAAGAATAGTCGTGCTCCGAGCCGTGCCGCATGCGCGTGTCGCGTACTTCGTACGGCGGCGCTCTGGCATGTGCCGACTGCGGGGCATGGGGCAGCAGGCTTGCAGAACACAGCCTGGCGATCGCTATATTAGTGCCAGTCAGCTGGATGCTCAAAAGACTGCATGCTGTGTCGCCTGGCGCCCTGGACCCCTCACTGCACGCCCTTCCACGGTTGAGTGTTGTTGATGTTTACAGTTTGCTGCTAAACAGGTCCAACGCGCGGGGTCGCTAGTTTTTGTGAAGCCCCCATCGTCATTGCTGAGACTAAGCTCACCCTCGCCGGCACCCGAAGCACCAAGACATCCTCTGCCGGTACTTCGCTGCCTGCTTCTGCCCGCCTCACCTCGACCACTTTTCCCTTTCTCTCCCTCTGCGGCCTGTATCCACCATGCCGCACCTACCTATAGTCTCCAAACACCGGCGGTCGTCGCTCACCAGTGCGTCATCTCCCGAATTCCGGCCGTACCGAAGCTGATGCGAGTGTGAATGTTTAGGTAGCCGCGGGTCCTCCATAGACGAGACACGACGACACGAGGGCGGCGACGAGACGACCAAGGAGGACGAGACCGTCATGGATTCCGAGCAGGGCAGCATGCTCTCCCACATCATATCCCAACTGCGACCTGGCGCCGACTTGAGCCGCGTCACGCTTCCCACCTTCATCCTCGAACCGCGATCGATGCTGGAACGCATAACAAAGTGTGTAGCGCATCTAGGCTTGGCGACGGGTGCATAGGCTGACTATCAGGCAGCTTCATGGCACATCCGGAGACGCTTCTCCCTATAACCACGGTGGAAGACCCCGTACAGCGATTCGTAGCAGTGACCAAGTTCTACCTGAGTGGTTGGCACATCAAGCCCCCGTATGCATTTCCGCCGTCTTCGTGCGCCCACAAGCAACAACTGATGTGACTTAGGGGAGTCAAGAAGCCGCTCAACCCCATCCTGGGTGAAATCTTCACCGGCTACTGGGACTACCCAGACGGCACCAAGGGCTACTACATCTCCGAACAGACGTCGCACCACCCGCCCAAGTCGAGCTACTTCTTCATGGCCCCCGAGCACAACATCCGCATAGACGGCACCCTCAAGCCTCGAAGCAAGTTCCTCGGCAACTCCGCGGCGAGTATGATGGAGGGCATCGCGGTTCTGCGGCTACTGAATACCGGCGAGCGATTGTAAGTCGAGCAGATGAACACCACAACTTGAGGCTCACGACAGGTAGTTTCGTCACACAACCCAACATGTACGCGCGCGGTATCCTCTTCGGGACGATGAAGTACGAGCTTGGCGACCACGCATACATTCGCTGCCCCGAGACCGGTCTCACTGCCGATCTCGAATTCAAGACCAAGGGTTACTTCAGTGGGTCCTACAACGCTATCGGTGGCTACATCAAAGACGCCAGCGGCAAGAACCTGTACGAGCTCTCGGGCCAGTGGAACGAGGAGATGTACATCAAGGATCTGACAGTAAGGTTATCACTCTTGCAAGGTCAGAATATGTACTGACCATCTGTAGACTGGCAAAAAGGAGCTCCTGTTCGATGCAGCACACACCAAACATACCCCACCGTCGGCTCGGCCTCTCGAGGAACAAAACGACCGAGAATCGCAAAAGCTCTGGCACGATGTGACCGAGGCTGTGAAGCGGAGAGACCAGGACGTCGCAACCGATGCCAAGGCTAAGATTGAAGACATGCAAAGGCAGGAAGCTGCGAAAAGAAACAGCGAAGGTGTGGACTGGCACCCACAGCTCTTCAGACGCGTAAAGGGCGGCAGTGGCGGCAGCGAAGAGGGCGAAGAAGACCTCGACTGGATCATCAATGCAAAGATGTCAGTACCCCGCAAACCCTCTGTGTACGTTTTCGTGCTAACAGGATGTAGTGATGGCAAGACGCCTGACGAAGTCGTCAAGCAGATCCTGCAGATCTATGCGATCCTCCCGGGTCAGAAGCCAGACAAACAATTCAACATCCCATCGCGAGCGAGTGAAGCGCATCTACCACAGGCACAAGGAGCTGTACAACCAGCGGAACAAGTGCCCGCTGGACAGTCAGCACAGTCTACGGAAACGTTGCAGCCAGTACCTTCCGAGCCTACAAGCGTGCAGTCGCAACCAGTGACACAACACGAACAGCAGAGCGTAGGTCTTCCCAGCAACTTCGACGGAACATCGACTCATGCCCCGCCCTTCAAAAACAGCAGCATCCCCAGCAATCCTAGCAACCCACCTATGCCACCTCTCGAAAAGCCCTATTCGCAACCTAGTGCGATCTCACCCGAGAACCGTGAGGCCTTCGCCAAGGAACTGCCTCCCAGCAAACTCCTTAATTCCAACCCCGAACCAGAGCCACGAAAGGACGATCTCCTGCGGAGGACCGATAGTGAGACTCAGGAGGACGATGAGTTCCATGATGCACAATCGTGAGTTCTTTTTCCGAGCTCTCGTTGGCTCCGCTATCGATACCTACTACCATAATCTGGTATCTTCTTTCTTTTTGTTGTCATGGGTCAAGGCTCACGATCCTATCTATAGAGTTCTCGAATTGAAAGAATCCAAGAAACGCTGCGGCGGCGGATGCTTTTCAACCTGCATCCCATCATAGAATTACCCCATTGCGGCCTTCATTTTGTCCCGTGTCTCTAGCCTGGTAATGGGTTGTAGTTGGATGGTTTATGGCATCGAATGCATTTCTGGAAAGTACTAATCCATGTTGGCTTGCGCGATAAACTAGTTTGTGAATGATGCAGCTTGGACGGTGTTGCCTTGGGATGCCTAGATCGTGTCCGGGGATGGCAAGGCTGCAGCCACGTTTTTGGACAAAGTAGGGTTGGTGGCGTTGCACCAAGGGTGCACGCCTAATCCGAAGACCCCATAATCCCGCCGTGCCGCCCTAGATACTCCACAAGCTTCTTTTCATAAGAGCTCGAGTTCCAACCTTTTGTTCTGATACCAGCATGTGTTTATTCACCTTTGATGATTCATCATGGGCTCCTTCGATTGTTACTGTATATTATGCTCTATCTGCATGAACATTGGCGCCATTAGGATTGGATCGAGAAATGGCAAGTCTTTGCGCAAGAGAGATCGCCTAATGGACATTAGGATGGGAAGACGTACTGGGAGGAAGGTGGGACGCGGGATTGTCTACAGTGACGATGAGGACGAAGAGATGGAAGATGCGATCGACCCCGAAGCCGTTGAGAAGCAACGCAAAGAACAGCAAGAACAGGAGGAAGACGATGCAGATTCGGATTACGAGTATCTCTCGGATTCTTCTTCTGAAGACACACAATCGGTCGATAGCAACGACTCCGACTTACTTACGAGATCATCCGAGATCCTTGACGTCGCTCTTCGACCCCGTACTCCCGAGCCTGAGCCTGTGGAAGAAGTCGATGATGGAGGTTGGTCGCAAGATTCCGAGTTGGACATTAGCGACGAGTGGGGTCTTGACAACTATGCCAGTACCGAGAACACTGAGGAAGACAGTTTTGATCCTAGACTCGTCGGACTCGACGACGTTATGTGGATTAATCGGGTCCGCGCACTGGCACTCAATCCCGAGCGGAAAGCCTACATTTCCGGTAGAGGCCGCTACTCCGACTATGGCAGTCTAGATATCGAAGGGCCTGGAAGAGATCCCAATGATCCGGGCGAATATTCTTTGAACATCACGAGCTACGCGAGTGGGGACGAACAACAAGCTTTCCCATTCCACGAGGCATGCTTCGACATTCTTGCAAAGAGCATAGGGCTTGAGAAGGGCAGAGATATTGACAAGGATGTAATGTGCAGAACTTTTAGCGCTCTTCTGGTTGACGAAAGACCAGTTCTGGATGTGGACTATCAGCTGCATTCAGACCAAGGTCAATTTTGGCACAATGAACAGGGAACGGAGTATGAAGTGTGCGATCCTTCCCCCCGACCTGCTCTCCAAGAAAGTATACAAGACATCCTACCCGCCAACATCTTCGGTGGGAGTCCGCAGTCGGCAAATCTAGCGCACAAGGTGCGTAGTGATCCAACCACAGTCCTCCCGTACGACCTCCTTCACGAGATTCTTGGCTACGTTGACTCCAAGGACATGCTTTCGTTCATGAAAGCTTCATATCACGTCAACAGCGTCACTCGCGAAGCCGCATTCTGGAAACATATGCTGCGCATGCGTATCTTGCCATGGTTCTACGAGCTGCGTTACTTCGTGGAGACTGCAACTACCGATGCGCTCGACTACAAAGATCTTTTTCTCTGGGTGGATGCATCGACTCGTCCCAGGTTCGGCAACCAGGGACCCCTCATGCACATAGCAAATCGACGCCGGATCTGGGGCTGCTGCCAGCCCGTAGCCTCGCTCTACAAGAAAGCAACTGGCCCGGTCGAGCCCGCTGAGCCGGCAGACTCGGAGGAAGCAAAGGCGATTCTGGACAGCTCTCTATGCTTACACATGCCCATGACCATGTATCCACCGCCAGCTCAGACCGAGACCGTTTCGGCACAATTTATTCACTCTTGGAATGAGATTACTCATCGTGCTTGCGTTTTGGACACCTACTGGCGCCACATCAACAACTCCGACGACTACTTAGTGGGAATTTCCGTCACCTTGGGTGACCAAACAAGACTTTTTGGCAGCTCTGATGGATTTAGTGGACTTCCGTTTCATCTTGATCGTGGGGAGTGGATCAAGGAGATCGTCTGCTGTGTCGAGAGTATTGTGAATCAAACCGGGCCTCATGGGAAGCCTGAGGATCCTTGGCCATCTAAAACTGCTATGATCAGTGGTATCTCTGTACACTGAACCCACCACCCCCGAAGATGAAGATACTAATTAGAAGTAGGTGTCATTGAACAGTGGGAGAAAAAAAGGGTTGCATCAGGGTTACGCCGGTGTGCGGAGGCCGTTCCAAGTGTTGGATGGCATGCATCTAGTAGGAATGACGGGTCAAATTGCTTCGGTGAGTTGCCAAATGCTGCAGCCGTCTGCTCTACTTTACAAGCCTCTACTGACCTCATTGCCAGAATGGAGCTATCTCACGTCTCGGTCTTCTTCAAGCATGCGGACCGGACTCAGCACCACTCGCTCAGCCGCGATATACATCCGCTCAGCAGATGGCATGGGGAAAGCTTGGATCATCGCTACCCTACGATCGGATTGGTCAAAGGTACCCTCAACAGGCTTCCGTCTGGGCGCATCCTACGATCCATTTTGAGTCCTTTCCCGCTTCCACCCACCCCAACCCATACGAACTCCCCGAGGATATGATGCCCAACGATGTTTTCATGTGGAGCAAGAAAAACACAGGTATTGAATGCTTTCAGCCCATTGCAACGAATCTCTCCATGGCCAAGGATTCGACCGAAGATCCCATGCAATCGACCAGCGCAACACCCGCAACGACCGCTCTTCCCAGCTCTCTCCCTGCAACCAACACGTCGTCATCGTCCTACCAACTCCACACCGGTATCGATATCGTCGGCATCAATCCCGGCCCTCATGACATGTGGGGTAATCGCGGCCGCAGCGTCGGCTCTCGCGGACCCGTCCTATGTCAATCCCCCAAATGGGCGCACGACATGACTGAGCCTCTCCGAGAATCCCTCAAAGCCGCATGGCAAGATATGAACAAGACAGGCGGCGGTCCACACCCTAACCAACTACAAAACACCGTCACTTTCCCACTGAACCAGGAAGACATCACTGAAGTCCACGTCGAGCAGCAGTACCGCGCTCTCAAACTTGTTACGCAGAGTGGACGGGTTGGCTACTTTGGGGAGCCGGATATGCGCGATTGGTTTGTGAGGAAGGCGGTGGGTGGAGAGCAGATTGTGGGGATTAGTGCGTGTTTTGGGGCGTTGGGGGGTTGGAGTGAGTCGGCGAGGATGTGGAGTCATCTTAAGTTGAGTCGCGTGGGGGTGGTGTTTGAGAGGGTTGATGGCGAGGGGAGGGTAATTGGTAAGGAGGAAGAGAAGGAGATGAGGGAGAAGGGTGTGGTGTTTGATGAGGGTAAAGTTGTTATGTGCTCAGAGTAGGGGTGTGTTGGCGTGGTGGTAGAACTCCAGTATGGTGTTTTTCGCAGTGTGATGCCGAGCTGGTTCACGCATTTGGGTAAATTGTTCTTTCACAGGTTCAGTAGGTACGTTTGTCTCGGTTAATTCCAGTTCAACATCATAACGTGACCTTGCATATATCGCGTTCCAAAATACGATTGGATTTTCATCATCGAGCATCTCGAGATCACAACAAGAAATACAGAATACAACGTAGGGGGCGGTGACAACGCACATATACGGCCGTCAGACGTAGTTCGGTATGGATGATCCTAGTCATATGCCAGGGACGAACCTCATCGCACGACAAATCCAGGCTGTTATCACAAAATCTCCGGACCGGCACGGAAACAACGTACAACCTGCCAACGACTCACCGTTCAGTACAGCAAGCCAATTGAGAACGCCGCGGACCTGAAGATCAATGTTGTCGCGTCCACGATGATGCGTCGTTCCCCACGCGCGATAAGGTTCGTGCTTGACGGACAGTGACATCATCCCTCGCGAAAAATGCCTGGGCAGCGCAGCTAAACACAGCCTACTTCTGACAAGGTTGCGCTATCCAGATCTGCCACGTTGATCCGCGCTTCTCTTGGTACGCGCCTTGGACAAATACCGCAAAGTATATACATTGCGACTGGCAGCCGGAATGAGCTCGTCGTGGTTGCCGCTCGACGACAACGACGCGATGCACGACCCGATTGAGGAGCTGCGCAACCCGCGTCAGGCCAAAGATGACTTTTTGAAGTATTTGAAAGAGGAGGTGTTGAAGTTGAACTTTTATCGCGCGCATATGCTGTATTTCGTCGTCGTCATCGCGATCTCCTCGGTCGTTGTCTATGGGCAGGGTCTTGCTGATGGGCCCAAAGAGTATGGAGATGCGCATGTGACGTACACCGACGCGCTGTTCTTGTGCACCAGTGCTATGACAACTACAGGTAAGTGTTTTCTTCGTCCTCTAGGCTTGTGTGAGCTGAGTACTAATTGATGCAGGGCTCAACTCGGTAGACCTCGGAGATCTCTCCGGCTTCCAGCAAGCGACCTTCGCCGTGTTGCTCATGATTGGCAACATACCATTCGTATCGACAGCAGTGGTACTCATCAGAAGAGCACTTTTCCGGAAGAAGATGGCAGATGTCGTCAAACATTCGCACACAATGCAAAGACTCGTGCGAGATATCGAGAACAGCCATTCGGATCAAAACGAAAGCAGCAGCAGTACCGGAAGCCTGCGCCAACGACCAAATGCAAAACAAGGCCAGATAGGAAAGAAAGTACAAGAAGAGAACGAGGAGCCGCCGCAAGCAAAAATGTATCCCAAGTCTAGAAGACGCACATATCACTACGAGACCGGATTTGGCTTCATACCAACACCCTGGGAGATCAAGTCTGCACGCAACTTCTTCAGCCGCATCCTAGACCGCTTCTCGACAGAGTTGAAACCCGAAAAACACGACTACGTCTCCTTCAAGCCGCATCTGGACTCCAAGGGCCGATTCCGCGAGCTCAGTGAGCAAGATCGCATGGAACTTGGGGGTGTGGAGTATCGTGCACTCCAAGCTCTGTTGCTTATCCTGGTGGGTTATCAGATCTTCTGGTATCTACTTGGTATCACTTTCCTGATGCCGTACGCATATCGCGACGATACCAAAAGCACATTGTATCAAGAACAGCCAGGTGCCATCAATCCCGGATGGTGGGCCTATTTTGCGACGGTGACGGAGTTCTCCAACGGTGGACTGAATGTGCTCAACGCCAATTTCATTCCCTTCAGCGGCAATGCGTATGTTTTGCTTGTGGCTGCATGTCTCGCGTTCGCTGGTCAAACGCAGTTCCCGATTCTACTCCGCATCACGATATGGGTGCTGAAGAAGATACTGCCGAAAGAGTCTCGTATCAGGAACACGATGCAGTTCCTTCTACAACACCCACGACGCTGTTTCATATACCTTTTCCCCAAGCGCGAGACAGTATATCTCTTTCTTGTTCAGCTAGGCATCGATATCACTGCCTGGCTTTGCTTCGAGATATTGAACATCGGCATGCCAGATGTCGAAGCTTTATCCACTGGGGCTAGAGTAGTAGACGGACTCTTCATGGCCAGCGGGCTACGTACTAGCGGCGCATACATTATCAACATGAGTTCGCTCGCACCTGCATGTTTGGTGGCTTATTTAGTCATCATGTACATCTCGATCTACCCTATGACGTTGGTACTGCGCAAGACGAACACGTACGAGGAGAAATCTATCGGACTGGAAGAGAATGACAGCAGTGCTGCTGGCGTAGCATCACACTTGCAAAAGCAACTCGCCTACGACATCTGGTTCCAGTTCTTTGTCTTCTTTCTCATATGTATCATTGAGCGAGGTCACATTCTCAACGCATCGCCGGGGTTCAGCGTCTTCTCGATCTTGTTCGAAGTTACATCGGCATATGGCACTGTCGGCTTGAGTCTCGGTGTACCGGGAAAGAACACCAGTCTATGCGGCGACTTTGCCAGCTTGAGCAAAGTCGTCTTAATGGCTGCTATGTTACGCGGTCGGCATCGTGGACTGCCTTTGGCGATCGACAGAAGCATTCTTCTACCCGGCGAAGAGTTGATGCATCGCATGGATCAAGAGTATAGCTCGAGGGGCACAGAGAACCCAGAAGAAGAAGCAGAGCTGAGAGATGACATTGAATCAAGTGGCGAGCAACAAAAGAATGGTGGAAAGGGCGACCAAGACCCAGAGGACAGGAGAAGGTCGCAACCGGACAACGAGGCTGGTCAGGAAGGGGCGGGAGACACAGTTGCAGAGTCCAACCCCTGATGAAGAAGGGCCGCAAGCACAGTGCAGCCGTGGTCCCCTCGGGAGTACTGTCGGCCAAACATCACCCCAGATAGCCACAACGATTACGTTGATACAGTCACGAGAGTCAGCTGACCCATCAACTCTACGGTCCGACACAATCCTTTGGGAGTCACGCGTTACACACGCATTAGGCGACTACACCGACGCAGGCTTTCCTATCGCCTTATGCACCACCAAACCTTCGGTCACACTTCCAGAACCCCTCACTCATGCATGTCGCGGATATGACCGAACCCACGGCTTCAGCCTGCGACGTCATATTCCCCCCTCAGCCATGCATACGCAGATTCTATCAGCCCTACAAGGCATGCGAATCCATCGCGCGCATCCATCGCTCACACGCCACAGTTATGCGCCTCGAAACTAAGGCGCTCACAGATCCCCACCAGGTCTCAAACCCAGTTCGCATGAAATACCGCCAATGCGACCCTGACCGACTCCACTGGACCGGAATCCAACGCACATCCCTGACACTTGCCGGAGCGTAGATCTGCATTAGGACTTCGGCATATGCGCTGACCGGGGACATGGAAATTGACTCGTTTGGTTCCAAGCCAGGGGATGGTGGTGGGGATTGAGGGAGGATCTCTGGTCGATGAGATGGCGTGTTTACAGGGGGGGGCCACAGGAAGGGGATCATGGAGGAAGGGTAAGGCAGCAAGGCATGAATATCGGAAAATTAGCAACAGAGCACTGGTACTATGTAAATGGCTGGGATGCCGTCTAGCTGGACGGATGGACGGGCTGTGGCGTTGGTGCGTTAGGATCGGTGGGATGCGAGTCAAATGACGTTCGCGGGATGGGCGGGAGATGCGCGTGCATACAGTCCATCTGACCAAGGGCGTGCCAAGACATGGCAAGGTCTAGCCCGATTAGGCGATTTTTTTAAGGTGGCAAGGTGTTAGCGTGCCACCTAAGAAAATAAGCGAAATTAAATCTCTAACTAATTCTTAACTAATCCTAAACTAATCCTACTTTAAATATAAATAACTTTTTAAATATAAAAGATATAAAAAAAGTTTATATTATAAAGTTATAGAGCCTATTTATATATATAATTATATAATATAAAACTTTTTTATATCTCTTATATTTAAAAAGTTATTTATATTTAAAGTAGGATTAGTTTAGAAAGGATTAAGAATTGATCCTGAATCGATCCTCTGTAGCGGCCTTGGCATGCCATGTCTCGGCGTGCCCTAGGTCAGATGGCCTGCATCCTGGGAGATGCGCAGGGCTGACATGGGGTCGAGCGTCAGACCAGCACGACAAGAATAGGAACACGGGATGCCGATTATTTTTTTCCTCTCTCTCGCAACAAACCCGTCGCGTCTCCGTTAGTAAGACGATTGTGATTTGGAATTCAAATGGTCCTACTCCGGTCTATGACGAGGCTGTCTATATGCACATCGCCAAAGACGACACACACGCGTGTATTGTATGCATGCACCCCTGCTTACGTATGCGAAAACCCAGCACCACCACGTCAACCTTCCCACTCTACCGTTTCGCACTCCGAGTATGTCGTGTGCGAACATCGTCAAAGCGAAATCGCCATCTACACGCACACACACGATCTTGACAGGTGCATCTGACGCCCACGCCCGCCGTTACCAAACCGTTGTGCCGCGCAAAGAGCAACTAGTGCGGTCCCAAACGTTTCACCTACCAAACACGCGACGAGTCAGGCTTCACCGCACGCACCGGTACCGGCAGCGACAACGGCAGCGGTAAAGAAGGAAATCATCCGACGGTAACAACGGTATGCTAGTAGAAAAGAACAGATAGTTCAGATGCGCGTTCGCGTTCGCTTGGTAAGTTCCGTGATGTGGTGTTCTGTGCCTTGGTGTTTTCGGCAAAGTTGGCTGTCATGGGCGGGCCTTGGAAGCAAGGCTGCCGCTGTCAGATTAGTTATTCGGACGAGGAATCAGGTCATCGGCGGGTAAATGTGAGTAAGAGGTTGATTGTGCGCAAGGTGTTCGTTGTTCGAGTGCGAAGGTGGTGGTGGTGGCCACGCTGATTTAGCATATGGTGCACATGGATCTGAACTTTGCGAATGTCTTCATCGTTGCAAGACTCAAGTGTCTTAACATGCCTTTGATATTATACTACGGACAAGAGGAAGTT